CTGTGATTGCTTTTATTATTGATATTAGCTGGAAGCCAGAGGACTAAGACTAAAAACCCCCCACCTTCTGCTGGCCACCAGTGTATCGTCAATAGAATCATGTACATGTGCTCATAGTGAGATTAAATGCCCACCCTGAACACCTGACTCTCCTAAATAAAGGTTTCAGGAATGGGGAAGATGGAGGAGAGGTGGATAGTGGAATGGATTACCTCGTCCTCAGCCTGGGCCAGCTCCTTCTTGAGTTCTTCCACACGCAAGCGCAGCTTCTTCACCTCACCTTCATGCTGCTCCACACGCCGGTTTGCATGGGCCAGTTCGGCGGTCTTCTCCTGGTACTGCTTCTTCAGCTTGGTGTGGACGTGTTTCAGGTCTGCCAACTCCTGAGAGAAACAAACTCAGTGAGTTAGGCTTCCCCTAGAAAAACAAAGACTTGCCTGGAAGCCACACAGACCCATGTTCCCAATGCAGAAAGAAGCCATGCTCCCTACTCTTAGATATATGCTCAAGAAATCAGTGCTGCACTTACCTGTAACTGTTGTTCATCGAGGTGTCTCTGTGCAGGCACACATTGGGACTGTGCATGCACAGGCCAGCCACTTACAGCTGCTCTGGTATTTTTAGCACTCCAAGGGGAGCTCCTCCTCCACAGAGCTCATTTGAGGCCGTTTTCCCGCCTAACGGTCACATGATCCCCACCGCCGTGTGTCATGAATGTAACTGCATCCTATGAGTCCACAGCGGGGTAGGAGGGAGGGAACGTGTGCCTGCACAGAAGACACCTCGATGAACAACAGTTACAGGTAAGTGCAACAGTTTTCATCTTCAGTCTTGTGTGCAGTCCCACCTCTTTCTATCAGCTAGTGAGGAATGCACACCTGTATGCCGTTTCACCTGCAACTCCTCAGCAATGAGGGATGAAGATGGAGGATGCCAGAATAAATAGATATATTTATTTATTTATTCAATTTATATCCCACCCTCCCCACCAAAGCAGGCGCAGGGCGGCTTACATAAAAATCAAAACAAATAAAAACAGAGCATTTATAAAACCATTCATAAAGTGCTCGTATACAATGTTATACAACGATGGCGAAACATAATAACAAATCATCTTGGTAACAGATCAATCGTAACGGGAGTACAGTCAGTTGTTCAGACTATCATATAAGGGGAGTACAGTCTGTTGTTCAGACTATCATCTCGGTCTGTTCGTGCCGGCGAAGCACAGGCTGCCGAAGATGGTACTAGAGCACAGGGTCTTATTCTGTTCAGCTATTAGGTGCGGGTCCTTGGTCGAATGCCTGGAACACTCTTGTTGCACTCTGTACAAATTCTCCACCTTTTTGGATGTGGCAGTCATGCTAGCTGGTTTCTGCCAGAGGGCCTTGGAGATGTTGGCAAAGCCTTCTGAGATAGGGAAGGCGATTATACCAGGTGATTCTGCATACAGCTTGCCTAAGATCTTTTTAAAATGTGTGTGAGCGCGAGAGAGTTTGTGTGCCTCTGGTGACTGACCCCTACTGGAGGCCTGGAAGGATATTCAGAGAGGTGGCTGAATAAAGCCTGCCCCGGCCTCCCGCCTCTGGTATTCCAAGGAGGTCTCCCATCCAAGTACTTGCCAGAGTTGACCCTGACGAGATTGGGCTTGCCTGGGTTATCCAGGTTAGGGAGAGCTTGTTTAAGATCTCATCTTGAGGTCTTGGGTTGGTGGAGGTCACCTCTGTTTCCAACGATTTAGCCATTCACAGCATTTGCCCTGCACAGAGCTTCAGAGCTTCATTAGGTGGCACTGGATCAGGGTCCCCTACAGTGTCATCGGGGGAAGGGTCTGATGGTAAGTCTGAGCCCAGGCCGGAAGGGGGAGTCAGCCCTCAAAGCCTGCTCTTCTTTGGAACCTGAGTGCCCCATAAGGGGGTGAGGAGAGATTGCAGGAGGAGACCGAACTGGGGGACCCACAGCGTCACGGTTCCATGAAAAGGGCTGCCTCGGTTCTGGAGGTGCTTTTCGCAATCGCCAGTCGCCCCAGTCTTGAAGTCTAGGAGAAAGAAAATAATAAGCAGTCTTGAGGTCTAGGAGAAGGAAAGTAATAAGGGTAGCCTTGCCAAGGAGGCGGAGGCACAGAACTCTGCCACTGTGCTGGGGAGGACAGTTCCGGTGGTCAACTAACTGCTGGAAGCGCCAATGCACCCTGCCCAGGCTCTATCTCCCCTTCTGAGAATGAATGAGCTGGGGAGGCATGTGGAGAAGGTGTTCATGGAGGGGACACTGCCCTGTGTTCCATCAGAACCAAAGCTGATTTGGCTGGAACTGAAGAGTTAATCAGCTCTGGGAGCACCTTGGAATTGGAATGATGCTTCTCCTTATGTCTGCATTTGGAAGGGGCTTTCTTAGGTGGAAGTTCCAACACAGAGTGTTCAGCTAAACGATCAGGCAATTGGACCCAACACTTCAGTTCTATCCCTGGAACCAACAGAACCGAGACGGCTCGATGGTGGGCATGTAAGCTGGTTGGTTCTAACTGGTGCTTTTGAAGGCAAGGATCGACTGTGCTCTGCTGGGGCAGATGTTTTTGCTGCCAGGCTATTAGAGAAAGAGAGCGCTTTCTCCCACAAGGTTGCCCTCAAGCACACTGCTCGATCTGAGCAGGCTTTCGGACTAAACTGGAGGCAGATCTTGCATGGGGCTGTATTATCGGCCTCACCCAAGCAGAAAAGACAGAAGGTGTTCATCTGAATGGGTCATTTTTGTACCACACTGGGTACATTTTTTAAACAAAGCCTTCTGTGACATTTCCCAAAGAGGAGAAAGAGCCCAGGAGCAAAGAAACTTTCAAGAAAACTCTTGATACCCAGAGCTGAAGAGAACACGTTCTCACAATGCAGTGGCAAAGAAAGGACCAAGGGAAAGGGAGCACGTGACCATTAGGTGGGAAAACAGCCTCTGATGAGCTCTGCAGGGGAGAGGCTCCCCTTGCTGTGTTAAAAATACCAGAGTAGTTGTAAGAGAACCTCTGATGGGACTGCACAGAAGACTGAAGATGAACTGTGCTTACTCAGCGGCAAGGGAAAAAGTGTTCTGCACCTCAGCATATATGAAGCTGCCTTATACTACATCAGACCCTTGGTCTATCAAGGTCAGTATTGTCTACTCAGATTGGCAGTAGCTCTCCAGGGTCTCAGGTAGATGTCTTT